CAAAAAAAGACACTGATGCTGTATAAGCAGGATAAGATGGGTCAGAAGTCTGAACAGGCATTGAACAGGTGGGTCATTAAACGAGGAATATCTGTACATATAAATGGAAGTGCCTGTGGTTTTCTTCTGGATGGAGGAAAATCTATTCCACTACTCACGATAGAGTTCATTTATCTGAACCAACCGTTTGAGCTTCATTAAGATCATATCTTTTTCCCATAGCCTCAGTTCAGTGTCCACTAATGTCCGCTTAATAGCCCATTAGTTGCCAAGTGACACCCAAAGGCCTTGTGAAAATGTCTTTGCCCTCTCACTGGCGGTAGGCCAAGTTAAAGGTCTCCCAGAAACGTTGCTATTACTAGGGAGATTTTTGGAGCTAGAATCAAGAAAAGAGGTCACATTGCTTCATGTTACTCATTAAAGCAGTCATGGCCAGGCCACATATGGCCATGGAGAACCAGTAATACAGCCCCACAAGGCTGAAAACTTTGAATGCTTAGTGATAATTTCATGCCTTAACTGTGGAGGGCTCAGCAGACTGCATAGGTGAAAGTGGAACTGCAGTGCAGGGCTAACTCCCCAGCCTATATGGGTGCTGTGTGTGCTTGTGGGCGTTGGCAAGTAAAAAGCAATGACTACCAGTAATACTAGCTCAAGCTTCCTGCATGGTGTGCACCTGTGAAGACAGGCATTGATTGATATGAAGCAGAGATGTAATGTTCTCATCTCATTATTAAGCTAGACTTGTTATTTTGCAAAAAAATTATTGATTTAAAATATTAAAGAATTGGTGTTACTTGCACACATTAACTATATTACGTAGTGTAAGGGCGGCCCAAGATAATTCCTCTTCACTCAGTGCTGCCCACACAGGCCAGAGGATTAAACACCCATGTGCTGGAGGGAGAGGTGCAAGCTTTCTAGGAAGATAGAGTATTTGGTTCTGCTACCTCAGGGCCTACTTTGTAGTTATGGGAAGGGTAAAAGCTAGAAGAGATACTAGCTACCGAGAGACTGGGTCAACCTGACTCTGCAGGAGAAGGTTCTAAGGTGGTGATTGTTTCTCTGATAGAGGTACACGGAAGGCTCCGTCAGCCCAGAAGACAAAAGAAGCTGCTCATTGCTGCCCCAGCCTCCATTTGCCAGAGAGTTACACATCGAAATTGTGTCCTCTCCCCACTACAGCACTAGTGGAAATTATGACCAGATTCTTTATCGGCACTTTCAGACACCCAGGTTCGCTGCCCACCCCTTCAGGGAAGATGGCATCTCATCCTCCTCACTCTCTTCTCATGCCTCAGATCCAGGAGCCCCAGGGCCTCTGGTTAAAAGAAGCCACATAGTTAGGCAGTATTTCACCCAGAATCCTCTTGTTGTGTCAGGCAGACAACAGAGATAGCTGAGCCATTGAGGTGGACCTTCCAACCTGAGAAATGTGTTTAATCAAAGAGGACTCCAGCAGGGAACAGTGGCACATATTTGTAATCCCAGTGCTTAGGAGGCCAAGGCCAGGAGGATTTTGAGTTTGAAGCTAGCCTGAGCAAAGGAATGAGACTTTGTCTCAAAATTAAAAAATAAAAAGTGCTGAGGATATAGTGTAGAGTGCCTTTGGGTTTGATCCCCAGTACCACAAAGGGGTAGGGGCGAAAAATAAAGTGAGAAAAACAGAGCATGTAGGAGAAAGAGGGAGGGAGGGAAGCAAGGAGGGAGAGGGAGAGAGAGCATGAGAGCGAGTGTGCACGCTCCAGAAGACCCAGGAGTTTTCTGTGTCTCACTGATTTCTGCCCATCTAGTCTCCACCTTTCCCCAGCTCAGTCTGGGTCTCCTTGGCTCCTGGATCACTGCTGGGACTCTGGGTACACAGTAGACTCTGGGGTGGGCAGGGGGAAAGGGTCAGGCAGGGCTCCATGGGAGCTGACCCAGGCCGCTGCTGTGTTGCAGGGCGGTCCAGGAAGGCGATGTCCTGTGTGTGCCAACGGCTGGGCAAGTAGAAACTCTGGAAGGAAGTCTGGAGAGACTGCCCAGGTATGTGGCTACCTCCTGTCCCGTGCCTGGAATTTGTACCATGGGTGCAATTCTACAGTGGCCCCCTCCCAAATTGTATGCAGTAATTTTGTGCCTAAGAATATTTTGCTGTTGCTGTGTATGTTTTTCTGGGGAGAAAAAATAGGTACATGAGTGAAAAAGGGTTAAGAACCACTGCCTGGGGGCTGGGGATACAGCTCAGCAGCGCAGCACCTGCCTGGCAAGTGTGAGGTCCTGAGTTCAATTGCCCATACCACCCCCTCCCCAAAAAAGAAAAGGACCACTGCCTGAGCCGGGTGTGGTGGCGCATGCCTATAATCCCAGCACTTGGAAGGCTGAGACAGGAGGATCACCAAGCATTTTAGGCCAGCTTGGACTCAACTCTGTCTCAGAAAACCAACCATTGGCCTAGAGTTGTAGCTTAGTGTCCAAGGCTTTTTGGGTTCCACCACCAGCGCTGAGAAAAAAAATGCCACTGCCTGCTGTCTGTGGGAAGTGCTTATCCTCAGACTGTCTAGTGGTCCTGGGTAAAGTGAAACAGAATAATTTAAAGGGGGCCAGGGATGCAGCTCAGCAGCAGAGCACTTATCTGTCATGTTGGAGGCCCTAGGTTCCATCCCAGCATCACCAAAGAAAACACCAAACAGGCTAGTTTCATGTTCCCAGCGAAGATGAGGTTCTATCCTTTCCACTCTCAACCGTAGTATTATTTAGGCATCTGTGAGAGGCATCTCAGACATTAGGAGACACAAACATTAGGAGCACATTAGGAGACACAGACCTAGAAATGGTGGTGCATGCTTGTAATCCTAGCTACTTAGAGGGATGGCTGGGACTAAAGGATAGTAAGTTCAAGGCCAGCCTGGGGAATTAGTGAGACCCTGTCTCAAAATAAACTGGGCCTGTCAGGCCTGGTATACATCTGTAATCCCAGTACTGGAGAGGTTGAGACAGGAGGATTGCTATAAATTCAAGGCCAACCTGGAACACAATGAGTTCAAGGCCAGCCTGAACTGCATAACAAGAGCCTGTCTCAAAACAACAAAAAATTAGCCCTGATGGTACATGGCTGTAATCCCAGTGCCCTGGGAGGCAGAGGAAAGAGGATTGCAAATTCAAGTTTAGCCTGGGCAATTAGCAACTTAGTAAAACTATGTCACAAAAAATAAACAGAGGGGTAGCTCAGTGTGAAGGCTCCCGCATGTGTGAGACTCTGGCTTTAGTCCCCAGTACTGCAAGAAAATAACAGAATGCGTTTTCTCCTTCAGCTGGTACGGTGCGTGCATACTACTCCTCGGTCCTGTCTCTGAAAATGTGGGGTCAGGAGGTTGCTGCCAGCACCCTTAGAAATGAATCAAGAGCCTAGATCAAAGGTCCAGCTTTTCTCTTCCTTCAGTTTGTGCCCACAGAGGTCTTGTGGCAGGTGGGGAGGTGAAGGGTTAAGAGGCAGATATAGGTATAGTTCAGTGGTAGGGAACATGCTTAGCATACATACAGCCCTGGGTTGAATCTCTACCACCAAAATAAAGTGACTACTCTTGACCGTATTTTTCTCTTTGGGACTGATTTCCTATAGGGATTGACTGGAAGGAGAGCCAGGCTTGGGGCGCCATCATGTGCAGGCCTGTGGCTCTGCCAGCTCATGACCTCTCAGAGACGCTGTGTCTGAGCACCTGGTCCATCCTCTGTCTATACTGAGCTGGTTCCAGCCAGTGCTCAGTGCTCCCACTTTAAGACAGTGGTACCGGATGAAGAGCATGGGATTTAGGCCGTGTAATACCTCTGAGATTTCCCTGATGAGTCCACAGCTGGAGCAGGATCCCCTGAGAAGAGCCAGGCTGTATTACAGTCACTTCCCAGCTCTACCTCTCCTCTTAAATTTTGCAAACACCTGCAAGGTCACTTTCTGTGGGGCAACTGCAGAACCCTGCCCTTCATATTTTTGAAGGAAAATAGGTACTGGGGCTTTCCGAGACAGACCAGCAAGCTGGCTCTGCCCCTGGACTTGGCTGGCCCGGGCTTACAGAAAACCACCTTCTTCCTGAGTGCTGAGCATGGAGCTCTTCTCTAGCCAGGCCCCAGGAAGCAGGGCTGGGGCGGGTGAGCAGGGTGTCCCAAGGACAGCTGGAGATGAGTACGCAGGCCACTGGGCCCTGGAAGAGTGGCCCTGAAGTCCTGTGCTCCCCGGAAAGGAGCTGCACTGTGCTGCACTTCTGGAGCCAGGCCCCCCTGGGAGCCAGCTGCTGCACCCGGGATAGGTTCCAGAGTACCGGGCCTTCTCTTCCTGGGCAGTCTACCCACCGACCCAACCCCTGACAGCGTTGGCCCTGTTGCCCTCTGTGCAGGGCTTCCATTGTGTGTAGGAGCCTGGCTTTGATGCTAGGCTGTAGACCCACTTGTCGCTTATCTAATTAGAATAAGGTACGGTTTTCTGGGCTGGGGATGTGGCCTGGTAGAAGAGCTCTTAGCATGCACGAAGCCCTAGGTTCACGCCCCAGCAGAGTTTTCCTTGTGTTCCAGTTTATACCACAGCCACTGCCAGCTGTGACACAAGTTATAAAACCAACCTATTGTATTCTCCCACCTTGGGGCACTCCCACCCCACTTTGCTGCCAGAGGGAGCAGCTTGGCAGCTGTGGGATAGTGTGAGCAAAGGAATTCACACCTTTAAGGTCCATTCAACCTTAAGGAGGCCCAGGTTAAGCCGGGAATGGTGGCACACACCTGTAACCCCAGCACTCTGGGAAGCTGAGGCAGAAGAATTGCAAGTTCACCTATCCTGGGCAAGTTAGTAACGCCCTGTGTGAAAAAATAAAGAGGATTGGGGATGTAGCTCAGTGTGAAGGCCTTGGGGCCAGTCCTCAGTATTGCAAAAAATAAATTTCAAAAAGGAGTTGGGTTAGAGTCTGGCTCTGTCATTGCCTTGTTGCCTAAGGACAAAAAAGGAAAGTGGTTGATTTCTTTGTCTGGGAAGTTGGTTAGTAGCTTCCATGTGTACCCACCCCGCTCCCTGTTAGCAGAATGAATAAACCTAATGATACCTCTAACCAGTGCCTGCACAGCCCTTGTTCTGCCTCAGAATTGCTGTGGGAGCTCTAAACAAATACACATGCCTAAGCTGTACCTCAGACTGACTGGATAAGGCTCTGGGTTAGCTTGGGGCCTGGGCAGGCCTCCCCCATGGGAGAGATGTTAATTTTAAAAATTGAGATGTAATTCACATACCGTATTACATGCATGTGGGCACACATGTGCTGCAGATCAAACCCCTGGTCTCATTCATGTTAGGCAGGGCTCACCGTTGAGACATATCCCCAGCCCTAAAATTCATACTTGTACTTTTTTATTTGCAGGGCTGGGGATTGAACGTAGGACCTTGAGCAAGTGCTCTTCCACTGAGCTATATCCCCAGCCTCTTATGCTTTTTTGTTGTTGTTGTTGTTTTTTTGAGATGGGTCTTGATGGCCTCAAATTCATGATTCTTCTGCCTTAGCCTTCCAAGCATCTGGGGTTACAGGTGTGTGCTACTGTACCTGACATCCATTAGAGTCCACAGTTCAAGTAGGCATACTGGTGTAAGCCTGTAGTCCCCACTGCTCTGGAGACTGAGGCAGAAGGAGCAGTTGAGCTTACACATTTGACACCACCTTGGGCAACATAGACAGTATACAATTTAGTGTTTTTTTTTTTTTATATTTACAAGGCAATCAACATCTCTAATTCCCGAACTGTTATTACCGCATAAAGAAACTATACCCATTAGTAGTCACTCCCTCTTCCTCCCATTGCCTCGCCTGATCCTGGCAGTCACTGATCTTCAGATGGAATTGTGTAACGTATGATCAGTGATTGGTTTCTATTTTTTGTTTCGTGATGCTGGGGATTGAACCCAGGGCGCTGTGCTTGCAGAGCAAGAGCTCCACCACTGAGCCACATCCCCGGCCCCAGTGATTGTTTTTTAGAGCTTCCTAGGTAACTGAAGAATGGAGAATCAAATTAGTCATCAGATGCTGTTATTAAGGATTCTGCAGTTAAGATTCTGTGGGTTCTGGAATAATAGGCTGGGGACGTCCCTGTGAGGTCTTGGGCCAGAATGGACGCCTAGGAGAAAGAGGCTGTTGTGAAGCCAAGGTGATGACTCAGGATCCACACACCACTTAGTGTGGCAGCACCTTCTCCCACTGAATGAGGGACAAGGCCTTGTGCCTGGGCAGGCACACTCCCAGGCCGCCTGACATTGGCATAGGGAGACACCGAGGTTACAGGCATAGCTTCTGGCCTGAAAATGTGTATGCCACAAGCCAGGCTTCGCAGCTACAGCTCAGTGTGAAGACCTTGGGTTCAGTCCCCAATATTGCCCCCTCACCCTCCAAAAAAAGCATGGTAAGGTGGAGGAGTTAAGAAAGACCATCTGCTCTGCTTCCTCTGCTCCACACACCCTGCCACATCTTGGGGCACTTATTTGTGCTGCTCTTGACATTGTCCTCCACGACTGGGGAAGCCACCCGTCCTTGGAAAAAGGGTGTGGGGGTTCCAGATCCGGGCTTCACTGGGCCTCTTTCCTACAGGTGGCACGAGGTATTTTTTAAAGTGAAGAAAACCATCGGGGATGCTCCAGGTGGGCCACCTGGTGCCTACTTAGCCGACACCACACACACCTCCTTGTACATGGTGAGGCCCAGTGGGAGCTGACCAGGTGACAGGGTGCAGGGGGGGCTCAGACCTAACACCATTTCACCGTCTCACAGGTGGGCTCCACCCTAAGCCCTGTGCCTGCCTGCCTTTCCGAAGGGCCTGGTCTCTGGAGCAGCTTATCCCCTCCCGGCCTAGAGGCCTTGGTGACAGCACTCTGTGCTGCCCTGAAGCCTCGTCTGCAGCCGGGGTGAGTGAGGCCATGCCACAGGGCTCTGTCCTCTCAGGACATGGGGCAGGGGCCAGAGGTTAGCTAGAGGATGGTTCCTAGTGCTCTACCCAGACATGGGTAGCCCAGCTGCAAGGCCCATTGTAGGCCCCTGGCCTGCTGGGTTCTGCAATAGACTTCCAGGTCCTTCCTGAACAATCTCTGTCCCCAGGTCAGTTGAGGGGAAGATCCTCCACCCAGGCAGCTATCTCTAGGGCAGCGCTGCCCTTGGGCACCCACTGGACGGCCTGGCCCTGAGGTCTTAGCATGTAGCACCAGAGGCCTGAGTGTAAGTTCAGAGCTCTGCCTGGTGCCATTCAGCACTGTTGGGATCAGCCCTCCTGAAGGCACAGCTGACCACAGGGTACTGGCCTGGCTGAGGGATGTGCCCCATACCCTTGCCAGAGCTCCAGAGGCCTGTGGAGAGGGACAGCGCCAAGGGTCCCTGTGTCACAGGGACTCCAGCAGGGGTCTGTTCTCTGTTTGCAGGGGCACCCTGCTGACAGGCACAAGCTGTGTCCTTCTGCGGGGCCCCCCGGGAAGTGGGAAGACCACTGCGGTAGCTGCTGCCTGCAGTCGCCTTGGACTGCACTTGTTGAAGGTGAGGGTCCCTGGCCAGCCCCAGATTTGGACAACTCTTTTCCCCGCCCCGGGCATGTTCCCACAGGGTGGAGATGCAGGGTCCTATCAAGGCAGGGGGCCAGGAAGTGGGGAGGGCAACCAAAGGTGGGTCCTGGTCACTGTTCTTGTTTTGCCCAACACTGCCCTCCAAAGACAGCCTATGTGGGGCTGGGGATTTAGCTCAGTGGCATAGTGCCTGCCTGGCAAGTGCAAGGTCGTGAGTTCGATTCCTGGTACGGGAAAACAAAACAAAAAAAAACAAAGACAGCCTATGTGTCCTGACTCCTCTGCCCCTGTCCCCCATCCTGCCTGTCCCTTGCACACAGACCCTTGACACACACCTCCCTCCCCAGGTGCCCTGCTCCAGCCTCTGTGCAGACAGCAGCGCGGCCACAGAGGCAAAGCTGCAGGCTGCCTTCTCCCGGGCCCGCACCTGCCGTCCTGCTGTCCTGCTGCTCACCGCTGTGGACCTGCTGGGCCGTGACCGCGACGGGCTGGGCGAGGACCCCCGGGTGGTGGCTGCACTATGTCACCTCCTCCTCAGTGAGGATCCCCCCAGCAGGTGCTCGCACAGGCCTGGGCCCAGCCTTGCTCATCCTTGCCACACCCCGTGGCTTCTCAGAAGCCCCACACGGTGTTCAGAGGGGGAGCGTGGCTGGGCATTTCTTGGGGCTGTTAGGTTGAAGCAAATGTGCAACATCTGCCTTCTGTGCTCCCATGGCAGGGGAAGCGCAGGTCCCCACCCCTGCCACCCCACTCCCCTTACCCTCAGTCCTGTGCCCGCCTCCAGCTGCCCTCCACTGATGGTTGTGGCCACCACAAGCCGGGCCCAGGACCTGCCCACCGACGTGCAGGCAGCATTTCCCCACGAGCTGGAGGTGCCGGTGCTGTCCGAGGGCCAGCGGCTCTGCATCCTGCGGGCCCTCACTGCCCACCTGCCCCTGGGCCAGGAGGTGAACCTGGCACAGCTGGCCCGGCGGTGTGCGGTGAGTACCCTGCGGGGGCCAGGGTAGACACCGAGGGCTCCTGCTCGCCATGCCTGCTCAGGTTCCTCCTGTGGCTCCCTAGGGGTTTGTGGCAGGGGACCTGTGCACCCTTCTGACCCACAGCAGCCGTGCTGCCTGTGCCAGGATCAAGAGCTTGGGGTAAGAAGTGAGAGTGGGGCACTGGTCGGGGAAGGTGGCTGCGGCGGAGGGGAGGGGAGCAGGACGGCTTCGGAGCGGCCTTCGGGGGGCCCTCAGCCTGCCTGTTTCTCTGCAGTTCAGGGGGCAGCCTGAGTGAGGAGGACGAGGCCGAGCTGTGTGCCGCCGGCTTCCCCCTCCTGGCCGAGGACTTCGGGCAGGCGCTGGAGCAGCTGCAGACAGCTCACTCCCAGGCTGTGGGGGCGCCCAAGGTGGACCCTCTTCCCCCCATGCTTGGAGCCTTGGAGGGGCACAACACCCCACATGCACACCCCAACCTTGTGCGCCTTTCGCCAGATCCCCTCCGTGTCCTGGCACGATGTGGGTGGGCTGCAGGAGGTGAAGAGGGAGATCCTGGAGACCATCCAGCTCCCCCTGGAACACCCGGAGCTGCTGGGGCTGGGCCTGCGACGCTCCGGCCTTCTGCTCCATGGCCCCCCAGGCACTGGAAAGACCCTGCTGGCCAAGGCGGTGGCCACAGAGTGCAGCCTGACCTTCCTCAGGTGTGTAGGTCGGCAGGGGAGGTGCGGGACGAGGGTCTGCCCACAAGGCGGCTGTGCCCAGCTGACCACTCGCTCTTACAGTGTGAAGGGGCCGGAGCTCATCAACATGTACGTGGGCCAGAGCGAGCAGAATGTGCGGGAAGGTGAGCCATTGAGACAGCCCCCAGCCCTCCCCGGCCCCGCCCCCAGGCACTGAGACCTCCCCGCAGCCAGGCCCCTGCCCAGCCAGGTCTGGGTGCTGGGGTGCCACACCCTGGCTCCCCACCCTCCCTTGAGCCCCTCGCTCAGTGTTTTCCAGGGCCAGGGCGGCTGCCCCATGCATCATCTTCTTTGATGAGCTGGACTCCTTGGCTCCAAGCCGGGGACGAAGTGGAGACTCTGGAGGCGTGATGGACAGGTGGGCCCGGGAGGAGGGTGGGAGACAGCTTTGGCAGTCTGCAGACCACAGCCCAGGATCGCGTCCCTGACCTTTCACTTCTGGATAAAATGATAGATGCTGAAAGGAGCCCTGGAGGAGTGGGACCTGGCACAGCAGGAGACAGGGGAGGGTGTGCAGCAGAGCCCAGGACTGAGTGGCCAGGGAGAGGCCCCACAGGCAGGGGCAGAGCCTGATGACGGACCAGGGACTCTGCTTCCTCCCCTACAGGGTGGTGTCTCAGCTCCTGGCTGAGCTGGACGGGCTTCACAGCACCCAGGACGTGTTTGTGATCGGGGCCACCAATAGACCAGACCTTCTGGACCCTGCCCTCCTGCGGCCTGGCAGGTGGGCATGAGGACTGTTCACCTCCACCAGCCCTGCTAGGGTGTGCCCCATTCAGTACCTCTGTCACCCCTAGTGGCTGATCCCCCTGATGCTTTCACTGCCTGTCTCCCTAAGATTCGACAAGTTGGTGTTCGTTGGAGCGAGCGAAGACCGGGCCTCCCAGCTACGTGTTCTGAGCGCCATCACCCACAAGTATGCCCTGGGCCTGAGTGACGAGGGGTGTGTGCTGCGTGCGGGGCAGCCGCTCAGTGCCGGGCTGCAAGGGAGGAGGGAGGTGACGCCAGCGGGAATGAGTCTCCTCGCCCACAAACAGGTTCAAGCTCGAGCCCTCAGTGAGCCTGGTGAATGTGCTGGACCGCTGCCCTCCCCAGCTGACGGGAGCCGACCTCTACTCTCTCTGCTCTGATGCCATGACCTCCGCCCTCAAACGCAGGGTTCATGATCTGGAGGAAGGTGAGCCACCTTCCTCCGGTGAGGACGCCTGGGGGCTCTGAGCAGGAAGGTCCCTTTCCCAGCGTCACTCCCCGTGTCCCCCATAGGGCTGGAGCTCGGGAGCTCCACGCTGTTGCTCACCATGGAGGACCTGCTACAGGCCGCTGCCCGGTTGCAGCCCTCCGTCAGCGAGCAGGAGCTGCTCCGGTACAAGCACATCCAGTGCAAGTTTGCTGCCTGCTAGGAGCTGTCTGGTGCTAGGACCTACCCACCATGACCAAAGGTACCTACAGGGCTTCTCAGAGCCCCATGAGGAAAGGGCTCTTCCTCAGGATCTGCCCACCTAAAATTACCCTCCCCAGGAGATGCGCTGGATGCAAGAGATGTCAGGGCATGTTCAAGGGTATCTCCTGCTTTTTTCCACGCCAGCGGGAGACTGCCAGCTGCTCAGGAGGCCTAGTCCCAGGACAGCCCTGAGGCCTGTTTTGCAGCAGAAAATAAAGTGTGTGCTGCCCCCTGTTGGTGATATGGGGAGCTGCATGGGAAGAGCACAGCCGTGGTGGGAAGAGAGGCCAGGACCCTGACAGAAACACACGCAGGGCATTGACAGGCACAGGTTGTATTGTTTCTGCCCCATTTGGTGGGGCCACCTTGCTGCTCCTGGGGCCACATTCACTCCGTCCTCTTGAGCACGTGGATGAAGTAGCAGGGGACATGGGCCTGGCCCGGCTTGTATGGCTTGAAGTCGCCCAGCACACTGTGTTGGCACTTGCCCCCGAAGGCTGCTTGTAACAGCTCTGTGAAGGGCGCCAGGCGGTGTGGGAAGTAGGAGAGCCGGAACTTGCTGCAGGGCGGCAGACTGTGAGGCTGTGGGCTCAGCGCGCCCCCCACCACCCCTGCCCAGCCAGGCACTACCTGAAGCCCGGGGCGCCATCCCGGCCGGCCTCCGGCAGTTGCACCGTGTAGTCCAGGGTCACCATGTGGGCTTTGTTGTTCACCATCAGCACTGACGTCGTGATGTCCTTGGTCAGGTCGCTCTGTCGGCAGTGGAAGGGCTGTGTCAGTCTCTGCAGCACCAGGGCTGTGGACCCAGGTGCACCCGCCCGGAGCCCACCTTGTAGTAGATGTTCTTCCCGGGAGGAGCGCAGCCTGTGCTGAGGATGTGATCATAGTTGCGATGGTCGATGACCAGCAGGCCGCCTGGCCGCACCATGCTTGCGATGTTCCTCAGCGCCAGCTGGTGCTCACTCTGGTCCCCTGGGCTCCGAGCAGGGTAGAGGCTCTGTCACCACCCTCCCTCCCGCACCTCCCTCCAGGGCCAGAAAGGAGTCTGTTCTATGTGGAACGCAGGCGCCAGGGCCACACCACTCACCTCTGCAGTCCGGCAAGTGGGCAAAACTGTTCCCGAGGCAGATGACAGCATCGAAGCCGCCACCTTCTGGCCGGGGCACATCTTTGTCCAGAGTCATCCAGTTGGCTTCTTCAATGACTGGGGGTGGGGGACACAGGACGGGCAAGAGACAAGGGAACGATAGCCTCAAGGCCAGAAGCTGCAGCTCCTCCAAAGGCACACTGGGCTCCCCCTCAGCGGAGGGGGCCCTTTGGAGATGGGGAGACTGGGCAGGAAAGAGGGCCCTATGCTGAGGGGCTGTGACTGGGGGGAGACTGCAAACACAGTTATGTGAGCTCTCCGAGCCAGGCATGGTGATGGACACCATCTGGATGTAGCCAGCACGAAGGCCCTAGGTTCAGAGTACCAAAGAACAAGACCACGTAACACTTCACACCCACAGTCCCCACCAGTCCAAGGCTGCAGCAGGGGCGTGCTGAGCCCAGGAATTCAGAATCGGCCTGGGCAACCAGTGAGATACCATCTCAAGCACTGAGTGGGTATGGTGGCACATGCCTATAATCCCCATATTCTTGAGACGCTGAGACAGGATAATTGCTGGTTGAAACCCAGCGTGGGCCACTTAGACCCTGTCTTGAAACAGGCTGGGGAAGTGGCTCCGTGTGAAAGTCCTGAACTGAAAATAAAGTCTAGCTCTTGATCCCTGGTACCTCTTGTGAGACCCACGTTTCCTCCAGGGAATGTCAGTAATGTGGCTCCCAGGCCAGAGAGAAGGTGACCTGGGCGGTGGAGCTTTCCCAGGAAGGACACGTACCCCACTTGTCAAAGGCTGGGTCCCGCCGCCGGTTCCAGCGCTCTTTCAGTGCATACTTGAGCATCTTGTCACTGGCGTCCACGCTCGTCACGCTGAAGCCCTCTTCCACCAGCATGATGGAGTCCACCCTGGGGGAAGGGCAGGGTGGCTGGAGAGGTGTGGGCTGCGGTGCTGCCCCTCTGCCTCCTTTCCCTGACTGCAGATGACCTCCTGTCGGCTCCTCACCAGCAGATTTTTTTCCTTTAATACCTTTCCAGAGGCGCACATTAATGTTTCAAGTATCCCTGCAAGGGTTGGGGGACATCACCACTGAGGGCCAGGGGCTGCTCCAGGGAGCACTGAGGGTGGCCGGTAGCCCCGGGTGGATGCTCACGGGTCTGAGAAGCTCGAGTGTGGAAGCCCCTGGCACAGTGCTCTACGCATGCAAATGTTCTTGGCGCCACCCAAGGCCATTTCTCGGAGGGACAGCGGCGGAGCCAGAGAGCTGCTGGCCCCAACCTCCGACTGCAGCACGTGGCCCGCGTCCCCACCCGCGATCCTGCTTCCCTCTGTTCTCACCCGGTGCCGCAGGCCACGTCCAGCACTCGCTGGCATCCATGCTGGCGCAGCAACCCCAGTAGCCACGCTTTGTACTCGGCCGTGCGGCTGCGGGTGTCCCCGATGTACAGCTGCCACACGCGTGCCGCCTCCCCATCCGCATACTGATCCGGGAGGCCCTCGGCTGCCACCCCCAGGGAGCGAGTGCGGTACACGCTGTCCACCATCGCGCCCTCTGCCCGATCGCGGCCGCCCGCATTTATCAGCGGCCCGCGGCACACTGGGCCAATGGCAGTGGAGCGCGGGGACACGCCCCCACCTGGCTCTGCCCAGCCACGCCTGCGCTGCCCGGACCAGACCCTGGCTCCCTGTTCACTTGACCCGGGCGCTACAGAAAGCTGGTCTGTCGCCCACTCCACCCCACCCGAACTGAGAAGGGAAGCGAACTTCAAAATCCATGCAGACCTGACCCTCCTGGGTGGGCGGGGCTGGACCATGCCCAGCAAGGAAGAAGGGATGCCTCACTGAAGGAGGCCACCGGGGCACGAAGTAGAGGTGCCGGCAGAGCCCTCCGCCCACCTGGAAGCAGGGGTGCCGTTCACGCAGGCCCCGGCATCTGGCTTCTTGAGTTCTGACCTGCTGGCCTGGCATGGTGGTGCACGCCTGGAATCTCAGCGGGGCACGGGTCAGGGAGACCAGTCTGGACAGTTAGGGCTGGGGTGCAGCTCCGTAGTGAAGCACCTCTAGGTTTGACCCCTATACTCCGGCGCAGTGAGGAAGAAAACTGCTAACAGCTGGATGCCGTGGCAGCACCTACAGTCCTGACCCCAGAGAGATGGGAGGGCCCCTGGAATCCAGGAGTTGGAGGCCAGCTTGGATGACACAGAAAGACCCCCATCTCCAAAAAGCGAACCAAAACAGCCTCACTGCACACTAAAGACCATCCGCTGCTGCTGGCCCACATCTGTAATCCCAGCACTGGGGGAAGCTGGGGCAGGAGGACGGCACGTTCGAGCCCAGCCTGGACAATTTAGCAAGACCATCCCAAAGGACTAGGGCTGAAGCTCAGTGCAGAGGCCCTGGGTTCCACCCCTAGAACCACTTAAATAAACCATCGGCTTTCTGCAGGGAGAAATTTGGGGGAGGCACTTTAGGGCCCTTGCTGTTCCATTGCTCTTGGTCACACACACAGACCCTTGGGTGTGGTTGGTCCACATCTCCCTTCCTCGCCAGAGCAGGTTCCTCAGATTTTTGAGACAGAGCTGGACAACGTACCTAAACAAGTCCAAGATCTGCAGAAAAGCCTTTGCCACCTGCCTCTGTGCTTCTAGCTTCAGAATGAGAACAAAGAAACCTCTCCTTCCCTAATCCTTCTACCTCAGCAGCACCCCAGAGCTGGAGGGAATCCAGGGATGGTGTGGTCACCTTCACCGTCTCCTTAGCACACAGTGGTCTCAGATGATGGCACCTTGGGCTCCGGCACACTGAGTGTGCTGGTGTATACCTGTCCCAGCTACCCTGGCGCCCGAGGCAGAAATATTGAAAGTTCAAGGCCAACCTAGGGCACTTCAAGGCCACCCTAGCCCTGTCTCAAAAAGGGATGGGATGTAGTTCGGCGATAGAGTGCTTTGCTAGCGTACATGAGACTGTGGGCTAGCTCTGCAAGGAAAAAAAGTGCGTGTGTGAGGTTTGTTCATGCTTGAGAACTGTAGTGTTGCAGGGCTGCTGTGAAAGTTTGGAAGACACAGAGCTCCACACGTAAGGGGCTGCCATTCACACCCCAGAGCTCATGATGGATCTGGGTATTTATAATGGTAGTTTTCTGGCCAGTATTCAATCAAGTGCCTCATTCTAACTAAATTTATATGAAAACAACACAAGTTGGGAGGCTGAGACAAGACTGCAAGTTTGAACGCACCCAGCTAGGTAAATAGGGACTTAGTGAAACCACTTCCAAAAAAAATTTTTTTTTAAGAATGAGGTATGAGTATCAGGTCCTGAGTTCAATTCCCCAGTGCCAAAAAGAAAAAAAGATCAGGAATGTGGCTCAGCATGGAGGTCCTGGGCGCAGTCCCAGTTGGAGCATGGTGCTAAATAAAACATCCACACAGCCACCTGCAGACAGGAGGTGGATTCTGGGAGCTGCCTTGAGTGAAGCCCTGAAAGGACCCGAGACGTCACTATCTGCACCTGCAGTTCTTCATCTGTTTATTTTGCAGAGCTGAGGTCTAACCCACCTGAACAGTGACCACTGAACTCCGCCCCCAGCCCCACCCACGGTTCTCATCACTGAACTGTTAGAAACCAGCCTGTGGTTTGGCCGGCAGCGCTCATGGTGTGGGCGACAGGAGCACACAGAGATGGATCCATTCTGGGGTCTGACGAGCTGCTTCTGAGGACAAGACCCTAACCCACGTGAGCCCTGCCCCTCTTAGAACATCGGGGTTCTCTCGAGGACTGGGATGCCGCTCAGCAGTGAGGGCTCGCCTGGCACGTGCAGCCCTGGGTTCCCTCCCAGGCACCGTAGAAACAAATAACAGAGAAGGCAGAGATGTCTGTGGGGTCCAGACCCAGCAGGCCTGCAGCACAGCGGCCACCTAAACAAGCTTCCCAGGTGCCTTGCACCCAGGTGAGGCAAGATCTTGTTCTAACAGGTTTCGGACACGGGACTGAAACCTGGTTAACTTGGGTTCTGGATGGCTCTGCCTAGATGCACAGGGGCTGCAAAAGTTGGGCACAATGCCCAGAATCAAAGACGTCTACTCAGGAAGCAGCACCTGCTCCCACCTCTCCACACCAGGCTGGATGGGGGCTGGCTAGTGCTACCACCTGGCCCCAGGACATAGCAGGATCCCGCTATGAGCCATAGGTCAAAGAGCAAGCAGTTCCAGCACTGCCACCCTCGAACATGGGGCTGTGACTGGGTCCCTGGACCAACACCCTGGAAGCTGATGGAACTTTAAGAATCAATGATGGGTGTGAGGATATAGCTCAGTGGCATAAGCACCTGCCTGGCAAGTGCAAGGTCCTGAGTTTGATTCCTGGTACAAAAAAAAAAACACCAAAAACAAGAATCAATGATTCGCTGGAGACAGGCAAGTCAGGCATCTGGGTGCTGTGAGCTAGTGATAGAATAGGAACTCCGACTGGCTACAAAACCCAGGCAAGAGAGCTGCAAACTGACTCCTGGCCCAGGGTCCCAGCTCCTCCTGTGCCAACTGGAAATGGAGGCAGGGGCTGGACCACAAGTCCCAGCCTCAGCAGAGGCAAAACTATCACAGCTCCACCCTCCACTGGGCTGCCTGCGAGGGGCCGCTCCCTGGGCTGGGCCTCTGAGTCCCTGCAGCGCTGCACTCTCGGCCTAGGGCAGGAGAGGGGTTTCTGTGAGGTGCTCCTCTGGTGGGGCATGATCTCCCTGCTCCCTCCTTCCACCCTCCTCGACTTCCACCAAGGCTACTTCCTGGCTGCCTTTCTGATGGGCTGGGGCCAAGCCAGGTCTGATGTGCCCTAAGTATGCACCCTGCCGGCCCTGGCCTAGCTGTTCTTATTTACCTTGGAGCTCTTGGTGGTGGGCCAGGCCCAAGCAACAGAACTAGGTCAGTGTGGATGACACTATCAGGGCCAGGAGCAGAGGGGAGGGCCCTGGTGGCTGGGGAAGTGGAAAGACTTGGAATCTGAGTCCCAGCTACACCATTTATGAGCAGGACCTATCATGGACCCTACCTCCCACATGTGCAGTCAGGGTTCGAATTCACACCACTAACTTCTGTGTGTGGTAGTGCATGCCTGTCATCCCAGCACTGAGGAGGCTGAGGCAGGAGGATCACAATGAGTTCACGGCCAATTTGGGGCCAGGGATTTAGCTCAGTAGCATAAGCGCCTGTCTGGCAAGCACCATGTCCCAAGTTCAATTCCCAGCACCAAAACAAAACAAAAAGTTCTGTACTTTGAAGAAAACTTTAAAAGCAGATATTAAAAGGATAAGCTGGCAAGATTTATCACCATGCATTGCAGCGGTATTTCTGGGGCCAGGGATATAGCTCAGTGGCACAGTACCTGCCTGGCAAGTGCAAGTTCCTGAGTTTGAGTCCCAGCACCAAAAAAACAAAAAAAAAAGAAAAAAAGAAAGCAAGGCCAGTTTGAACTACATAGTGAGACCCTGTCTCAAAAAACAAAACAAAACAAAAACACCACTAACAAGGCCTGCACCCTGCCCGAGACAGCCTGGGAACACGGGTCCACCATGCCACCACCTACAGAGCATGGGGCAACCCGGGGTTGCCGGGGACAAGGTATCCTGCCCTACAAACTCCAGGAGAGTGACCAGGTGTGGTCATCAGCAAACAAGGTCCAAGAGCAGACAGTGTGGACAGAGGTTGGGTGGCGGGTCCAGGAAACTACAGGACCTGAGGAAGGCGCAGGGACGAGAGGGCAAAAGGTGGTGAGCGGGACACAGTGCCTGCGACACAGCATGAGGAGCAAGCAGGGGCAGAGGGTGAGGGCAGCTGCCACCCGGCCCAGGGTCACAGGAGGCAGCACAGGGTCACTTAGCTCACCGGCCCTGCCCCGAGCAGCCCCAGCTACTCCCGGCATTGCCACTTGATGGGACCGTGAGGGGAAACGGAGGCCACAGGCACCGCAGGGCCTCCAGGGGAAGGATGCAGGAGTCACAACCAAAAGGCAACACGTCTTTACTCCTGGAGCCCCCAGGAGGGCTGGGCACAGGGCTGGGGGTGCAGTCTTGCTTCTCAGGTACAGGGGAGGCGATGCAGGCTGGGCGCCCTCCTTGGGCTCTGCAGATCTCTCGTCTGGTTCCAGAATCTGCTCCTGTCCCTCCTGAGTCACACTGGGTCCTACGAGTCCTGACCCCGTGGCCACCGGAAGCCCAGGCCAGGAAGGGAGCCGCGGCGGGTGCGCGCCGTCATGGTCCTGAGCTGCCATGTCCCCAGGCTGGGACATCGCGCCGGAGTCTTCAGCCTCGAGGTCGCTCAGAGCTCGTCAGCGGGGCTGTGTGGGAGCGGTGACGCCTTCTGGATGCCCCCCTCCTCCTCGTCCTTGGCACCAGGGTCCCCCTGGAGCCCTGCAAGCTCCTTCCTCTGCTTGCTGCCGCCACTGGCCGCCCTGGCCCGGCTGCCCTTCTTCCTGGCCTTCTTCTCTCCCAGGGTAGCCGTGTCGCCCTTCTTGCCAGACCACCGCTCTGCCAGGCAGCCTGTGGGCGGTGGGAGAGGCCGGGAGCGTCGGGAGGGTGGCTGCGGCCCGGGCACCGTGCGGGGCTTCTGGCGTCCCCAGGGCACCCTCTGTCCCCGCCCCGGGCCCCTGGGGACTCACTGGTGTCCTTGCCCTTCAGCACGTGGTTGGTGCACAGGAACTCGGTGAGGTCCTCCTCCTGGTGGTTCCGGTACCAGTCCTCGATCACCTCCTCGAACTCCTCCACCAGCACGTCACACTGTGGGCCGCGGCACCGCGTCAGCACGGCCCGGCGCCTGCCTCACCCCCCAGGGCTCCCCAAGCCTGGTGACTCTGCGAGGCGCCTGGCCAGGGTCATCAGCTCCCCCCCATACCTGTTTCTTGAGGTCCGCCACCTCGGCGGAGGTCTCGTTCCACAGCTCGTAGGGGATGTCCATCACCACCTTGACGCCCTTGTGCACCAGGCTGTGCAGCGTCTCAAAGGTCTCCGACATGCCCTGCGGGGCGCGAAGCTGTTCACCTGCACGCCCTGGGGTCCGCAAGGACCCGGCTGCTGGCCCTTCCCCAGCCTTCTCACCCCGCTGCCCGCCATCTCGCACCCTTCCCCACCCTTTCTGCAGGATCAGCTTTGCCCCCAAGGCTTTGAACCGAGCTACGTCCCCAGGTCTTTCATCTTTTTTGTGTGTGGGTACTGGGACTCGAACTCAAGACCTTGCGAGCAGGCCTTTTGCACTCAGACTCCCTTTCCAGGAAAGTTTATTTCCCCTCTCCTTCCCCGTGCTGGGCACACCCTTCTTGGTGGGAAGAGGGTACAGCCGAGGCAGGAAGGACCCTTCACTCTGTCAAAACTACGTGTTTCTGGGCAGAGCCAACACACTACCTGTTTCTTCCATCTTCCCAAAGTCGCACGCACGCACGCACGCACGCACGCACGCACGCACGCAAAGACGCTGGGGAATAGCTCAGGGGTACGGCAGCTGCCTAACATGAGTGAGGCCCTGGGTTCTATACTCAGAATCGCAAAAGAAAAAAATTTCAAACCACAAACATAGCCTCCTTGCCACCCCCGCTCTGTACACAGCAGTGGCACAGCACCCGCCGCTTTGCACTTTGCCTGTTTGTTCAGGAGCACAGCGGAGCCAAGCGCACAGGCAATTCCAGCTCTGACCGGCTCTCAGGGTTATCAACCCTGCTCCGCGGGGAGGAAGTCTGTGTCTAATTGTTTGCTACAGAGCATAATTTTAAACAGTTTTTATGCAAGCAAACCCGGATTCATGAGTTAAAGTCAGGTAACTTTTTGTTTTTCAGTACTGCAGACTGAACCCAGGGCTTTCACCCTCAGTGACATCCACAGGCCCTTTTATTTATTTATTTATGTCTTTTTAGACATGGTCTCAATATGCAGCTCTGGCTGGCCTTGAGCTCACTTTGTAGCCCAGGCTGGTCTCAAACTCACAGTGATCCTCCTGCCATGGGTGCCACCATGCCCCGGGTTTATTTTTTAAATTTTGAGACAAGGTCTCACTAAGTTGCTAAGTTGCCCATGCTGGGTTTGAACTTGAGATCCTCCTGCTTCAGCTTCCCAGGGTGCTGGGATTACTGGTGTCCATCAGTCACCACGCTTGGCTGCTAGAAGGGATTTTAGGGGGAAAATTTTAGGGCAGCAGAAGGGCCTGTTTGAAGCAGCTTCTCTCCTGCGACAGACCTCTGCGCGCACACGGAGTACACTCAGTGTGACACGGGTGTCAGGGCTGGGTTGAGGGAGGTGCTGCGTGGGCCCAGAGATGTGATGACTGATGCCTCCAAGTGACTTCTGAATCTCCCTGAGTTCCACACATCAGCATATTGCTGGCTCCAACTTGCACAAGGGCTTTAAGCCCGTGAGCGCTCCACCTGCAGATCTGTGTGAGAAGAGGGACCCTGACAGGAGACCCCCCCCTGTCATGAAGGTGCCTAATGCCACAGAGCATGAGGCCACTCAGGAGGGGAGTGAGCAGTCAGCAATCCAAGAGTGGGCTGAGGCAGGAGGGCTCCCGGGATGCCCGGAGATCACACCCACACCAGCAGGCGTACAAGCACTCACGCAGGCCTGGGTGAGAGTGCGGCAGAGCCCACCTTGGCAAAACGGTTGCTGCCGGCCCTCTCCTTGTGCAGGCTGTAGTCCAGGAGCCGTTTGCAGATGGTCTCAGTGACCTCAATTAACCGCAAGTCCCTGCCGAGACAGCAGCAGAGAGGCGCTGAGTCCCCTCCTGGAGCCCGGCGCATCCCTCCAGCCCTGCTGCCCAGCGCCCGCGCGGCTGGCTCACCGACGACGGGAAGGCAGAGCTGGAAGGGAGATAGGTCATCGGGCCTGGGGGCTCGGGAGGCTGGAACACAGACCAGAGAGACAGCGTGGTCACAGCTCCGGGACCTCGGGCCTCCCCTGAGCCCAGCGCCGGCTCTGGCGCTGAGCCACACCCGGCTGATCTATTCATTCGGTTACTTTTTGCCCAACTGGGGAGTACTGCTTTTTTTTTATCTTTTTGAGACAGGGTCTCGCTATGCAGTTCAGGCTGGCCTTGAGCTCACTTTGTAGCCCAGGCTGGTCTCAAACTCGCAATGATCCTCCTGCCTCAGCCTCCCAAGTGCTGGGATTACAGTGAGCCACCACGCCTGGCTCAACTAGGGAGTAAACTCACCCCTTGTCCATGCTAGGCAAGTGCTCTTCTTCTTCGAGTTTTTATTAATTTTTTTTAAGAACCACGCAAAGGGTTAGTAGAAACAGAGCTACAGGACGCACTCAAGAGTAGAGTGCGAGTGCTCAGAGAAATGAGGCACCTTTTATTTATTTTTCTGAGACAGGGTCTCATTAAGTAGTCCACGCTGGCCTTGAACTCACTATGGAGCTCAGACTGGCCTCAAACTTACAGCCATCCTCTTGCCTCAGCCTCCCAAGTGCTAGGATTAGCGTGTACCACCCCATTTAGCTTTCGATTTTTAAATACAGCAAAAGAGATCAAATTTCGATGGGAAGACACCATTCTATTTTGAAAACATGACTGTGACAGACACACATTGTGTTTGGCTTCTGACTCTAACATCTTCTGCTGGCAAGAAGCAGTGACAGTTCTATGCGTCTCGCTCTTCCAGAGGGGGACTCTGCGGCGCAGACAAGTTAAGGGATCAAGAAGCGCAAAGCCGGGGCAGCCCTGGTCACGGCCTGAGAGCCGTGTGAGCGACCTCAGTGTCGTTCAGTGTGAGCGCCCCACCTCTCCCTTGGGGCAGGCCCGCCCAGCAGGGCAGGGAGGGCGACTGCCAAGCCCCAACCCCCAGCACTTACGACTTGGTGTATCTGACTCCCGCAGCCTTGCGGTCCAGGATGCCATAGCCCGTGCCAATCACCTCCTTCGTCTTGCCCGTTTCCTCGAAGGCTGACTTCAGCTCCACGGCGACATATTTGCACACTGCAGTGGGGGCACATGACCCTGCCAGCCCTCAGTGTGCAGGAGCCCGACAGGGGGCCAGTGCCCAGCAAGACAAGCCAGGCGGGTGGCCCTGCCAGCCTGGCCAAGGTGCTGCTCACGATGGGCTGGACTTAGTGCCACCCAAGTGCCCTCATCCCCCTGGTTACTTCCAAAAACTTCACACACAGCCTGGGCAGTGACGCACACCTGTGATCCCAGCACTCGGGTGGCTGAAGCCGGGAGGATTGCTGTGAGTATGAGGCCAGCCTGGGCCACCTAGCGAGTTCAAAGCTGGTCTGAACTACTTAGAACCTGTGTCAAAGAAAAACTAAATCATACATTCAATCCCTAGCACCCCACGGAAAAAAAGAGGGCTGGGTTGTACCTTAGTAGTAGCATCCTTGCCTAGTACTCATGAGGCCCTGGATTCAAATCCCCGCTACCAAAAATAAAATGAAACAAAATAAACTTGCTATTTTTTGAACTCTCACCAAAAGGAAAGTACTGTAATTAGTTGGCTATAAAGTAACTGATCTCAGAGTTGTATCTGTTATCCAATAATGGGGTCACATTATAAGGGATGAGATTGTAAGGAAAACCAGACCTGTTACTATGATCTAATTCTGACACAGCAGGGCTCTCCACAAACTCATGGCCAGTCCAGGCAACTCAGGGAGACCCTGCCTCAAAATAAAAAAGGCTGGGCATGTAAGTCTGTGCTGAGCGCAACCCCCGATAACACACAAAAACAGCTGCAAGGGCCCGGGATACAGCTCAGTGGCTAAGCACCTGCCTGGCAAGCACAAGGTCCTGAGTTCGATTCCTGGTACCAAAAAAAAAACAAAACAGCTGCAAATAGACCTTTCACCCTGACCTACGTCAGCACATTCCTTTTGTGTACCTCCCAAGAACAAGCACCTTCTCCATAACAAAACCATTACAAAACTTGAAAATTAACAATAATCCCTTGTCACCCAGTTGGTCCCCATTAAAATTTCCCTAAGTGTCCTCCAAATGTCTTTTATGGCTGTTTTTGCGTGTTTGGTTTTATTTTTTTGAGACAGGGTCTTGATATGTAATTATGCTGGCCTTGAACTCACTATATAGCCCAGGCTGGCCTCAAACTCACAGCGATCTC